AAAGCAAGCAATTAGGCTGTTAAAATTTTCTCATTTTTTGTGTAACATCAGTCAAAAAATCTAAAATTAGATTTTAGAAATGATCGACATAAAATTTGAAACTAATCAACATTATTATTTAAAAGTTAAAAAAGTTTTGGGTCTTTATAAAATTCAAAAAGTTTTAATTTTAATTAAAACCATTATTAATAGTTTGAATGTGTATTTGAATAGGGATTTAGGAGGTAATTAATACCCCAGCAATATTTTTTTTTAAAAAAAAATAAAAAATAATTTTTTTAATATATAAATTTTTTTTAATAAATTAGTGTAACAATATCCTGTAGGGTGATTTTAATAGTAATAGCTTAGATCCCATATATTGTTACAAATACATTTTTCCTTAAATTTAATTTTATTATATTTATTATATAAATAAATTTAATTAAAGAACAAAACTATTATATGTCTGAAGTATTTGCATTATGAAAAATAAAATAATTTAATATAATACTAATTTTTTTATTATTATCATCTGATCATACAAAATATTGATTATTACATTTGATTTTAAAAATTTTATTAGGTATTTTTATATAGTAATAAATAGATATTACATAATCTTAAGTATATATAATATTTCTTTGTTATGCTTCAAACATTAAATTATTTTTTAATTTTCTTCTTTTACTATAAAGTATTTATATTTATATAATTTATATAATAATAAAATAATACTTATGTAATAGTGATCTTTAGAGTTTTTATATAAAATATTATTAAATTATATATTATTATATAAATTTCTAAAAAAGAAAATTTATTTTCTAAAAAAATGGATTAAGATTATATAAATTGGTTACATAAGTTTTCTTTTTAGAAGTTATGTAAAATCATATGATATACTTTACTTATATCTTAAGATTATTATTAAACAATTATTATTTATATATATTATTATTATTATAATATTTAAGATAATTTAAATTAGACTAATATTGTCAAATTTCTTTTAAAAATTAATTACAATAAGTATTTGAAGGTTTTAAATATGAAAAATATGATTAAACTTCCTTTATAAGAAATAAATAAAGAATGAAAAAAAGATATAGTAATATCTAAAGAAAATTTGAAAATCTTATCAATTTTTTCTACTTGAATTTTAGTTGAAAATTTTACAAATGCAAATTATTTTGATAGTTATACTTTACAAATTATTAATTAAATTGTATTTTAATAGATGAATTGTATTTTAAAAAATATAATTATTTTATTAATAATTTATAATAAATATCAAACTAATGTAATAAATTTTGACATCATCAAAATTAATTAGTGCTAAAGTATATTATTGTAGAGCTAGTAAATATTTATATCCTTATGCAGATTTAGTAGATTTAATAAAGAATACAATATAGACTAATCTCAAATATATTTTTCCAAATTTTTGAGATCCTTAGACTTCCTTCTAGTGAATTGATGTTAAAGGTAAAAGTACTGATTATACTTCTACAAAACTTGATCCAAAAGAAAGACTTTACAATGGGAATAAACTAATTTGTCATCAGTTTCAAAGTAAAGTAATTAATGCAAAAATCATTATAGGATCCCATATTAATAGACATGTATTCATACCCTGGATCACATTAATTCATTCTGAAAGTAACTACCATTCATTCTAAAAAGATGACAATCTTCAGTATGTGTTGCTTTCTCTGTGACAATTAACAAATCCCAAGACCAACATTAAACCACTTGGGAATTTACCTATTGCAACCAGTTTTATTTACATAATCAGCTTTATGTTAACTATCAAGAGTTACTCATCAAAGTTACCACAAGCGATAATGATCTGAATTCTCACACATCAAACGTTTTATATAATGAAAATTTTCAAAATTAGCATTAAAATCGAACATGAATTTCGTCAAAATTCTCACAAGCAATAACGACCCAATTTCACAATAAATTTTCATAGGATTCTTACAAGTGATACTAACACGAATTCTCTCACTACAAAAAACAGAACATGAATTTTATTACCGGGATTAGTTAAAAATCCCGAAACTCAGAATCCCGACAGTACATTTTCCCAAGATCCTAATTCCAGAAATGTCACAATCCCGAAATTTCAGAACCCGAACAGTCAAAAAACCCGAATTTTTATAATCCCGAAAGTTATAATCCAGAAATTTCATAATCCAGATAATAAAAAATCCTGACATCTTAAAATACAAAATCAAATAATAATTTTTTTTTTTAACCAATGAAATTTTAGCATTAATCATTTTTCGGGAATTTCCATTTCGGTATTTTGTCTTTCGGGATAATGAATTGTCGGGATTTTAGTTTTTCAGGATTTAACATTTCGGGATTTCGTACTAGAACCCATTTTTCATGAAATAATTCTTGCACGAAACAACAATTAATCTCAAATAGGGTTATAAAAAAAAAATACAAATTAAATGGAAAATAAATTACATGGCTACAATTTTCTCACCGGAAAGATTCTTCATTACTATTTTAATGTCTAAATAATAGTAAACGCTAAAAAATATCGCGGCGATATCAAACTTTCATAACTTTAAATGCACCTTCTATGAATACGAATCCTCTTTAAATGCCGTCTCTGGAAGCTTTGAATTTGATACTTGCATCCCTAATCTGTTCTGCTCATGAAAAAATGAGCCCGTCACGACTGTCTTGACATATGCTACCTATGGCAGATGACCACCATTAATGTGAATTTCATAAATTTCACCGCTTACCTAATCTTACTAATAAGATTTTATGTGAAAGAAAGGCTGAGATTCTTATGGATGATGAATAATAATTCCGAACAATTAAATAATCAATTAATAATTGGTTAGAGTTAATTAATGTCTTGGTGACCTTACGGTGTTGTTCTGAAATCTGTATATAAAAGGGTTCTTATGATCATAACATTAACCAACCCTCTGACATAACAAAAATATATTGTCAACTGCAACAATTTTATTGCTGCGCATTTTTAGAAATTCGATATTATGGTAAACATTACCCTGCATTACTTGCAGATACCAGATATTGGATATTTTGATAAATATAACTCATGGATGACAAATAAGATGCTTTTCTTCATTTATATAACATGCTCTCTAAAATAATGATTCTACTAATGTCGCGTGATAATGAACTTTATGTATAATATTGGATGGGTCTTACGAGGAATTCGAATGTTACGAATGAATGATTTGTAAATTGCTTACATCATACCAAGGTTAAAAAAAAAAATGGGCGGTCTGTAAAAACACGTTATGGTTCATATGGTTCATATGATATACTATTCTCGTAACTCGATTTTAACCCAAATTGTTCAAGACTTGGAGAAAATTGACTCGTCACTCGAAGATCTTTCTTAGTAATCCACTTGAAATCCTAATGGTACGCAAGCTCTTTACTTCCGAGAAATCCCTGAAGAAGATCAGAACCTGATAAAATACATGTATGAAAAGAAATGACGAAAGCCTAAATGATGATGATGTTAAAAATTTGTAAAGCTTGTTAGATCATCGTGAATGATCATAAATCCTCTTAAATTCACATGACCAGACCCGTAGTGATTGATGCATTTAAAAAAGGTCTGTATTATATTTCCTTAGCAAATGCTCGTGATAAATTGCGGAGATTGCATTTTAAAAAAAAACGAATACTGATATCAAAAGAACAACCAAAATAATATTTAATTTTATCTGGAGAAATTTAAGATCAATTTTTTGTTTCCTTAATAATTAATTTTTTCTAGGGTGAGATAGTTACTTTTTTGAACAGGAATGAAAAAAAAAAAAAAATACAGAAAAGAAAAAAGCTAATAAACAAAATTAAACAAGTTTTTTTTTTTTTAAAAAATAAAAAATAATTAATTAAATAATTGAAGCGTTTCATCTCAAAAAATAAACCTGAAGATTTCATTTTACATATTAACGAAACAAATTTCCCAATATTGTAGTTGTCAAAATCACGTGTATTTTCTACTTCTGTCGATCGTAAGTATCAAAGAATAATTTTTTTTGTTTCTGAAAAACCAGTTAATAAATAAAACCTGCAATTCGATACCAAATAAAGTAAAGCCACGAGTATACATGATATAATCTCGAGCTTTAAGGATAAATTAAGCGATCAATAACTGGATAAAAGGATTTACAGGAAAATGAAATAAATTTTGTTGATCTTTATTTTTCACTTTTCTCACTTTTCACTAAAAAAAAAAAAAAAATTCTTTTTTTTGTCAAATTTTGTAAGTTTCTAATATTCTAATCCGCCAGGTTAATAATATATATTGATGATGGTTTATTGAACTAACCTTTGGATTTCTTGTGTCAAATAGCAAACGAAACAATCTCGGCAAGTCAAAAAAAAAAAAAAAAAATCAAATTTATTGAAAAAAAAAATGACACTATCAGAAATGTTCATCAACTTCAGAAATTCTACACAACTTCCACACCTTTCACACCTTTCACATCTTTTTCACCTTCCTCACCTTCCTCAACTTCCCCACTTTTCCCTCTCCAAAGAAATGAAGTCACAAATAGCATTTGTATTATTGTCAGCAACGATTGCATTCATCGTTGCATTTTCGCTTGACTTAATGTTATCAAGTCTATTTGATATGAATCGTAGGAAAAAAAAACATGTCCCTCTTCCCTCAAAAATCTCGGCTTCTATTTCTACAAAAAAATTATCTAGCTGTCAACCTCCGCAAAAGCCTGTAAATTTAGGTACGTAAATGACTTTCATCGAGTGAAGATTTTTGAAATTAGGTGGGAGTTTTAATGAGGAATGATTAATTGAGCACCTCTTTCTTATTTTATTTTTTTTTAAAGACGCTTTCAAAGGATAGCCGATTTCATTTACTTATATTGAATTTGTGTCTTTTTTTTTCTTTTCCTGTCGATAGTTTGGAAATTCCCCGGTTGTATTCTTTTAAATTTTCATGATTTGAAATATTTGGTTGATTCTGGTCGATTTTCTTCTTGTTGACGAAATGGGATTCTTTTGCTTATTACTCTAATAAATAAATAAAATAAAATACTTTCAACAAGGAGTAGATTTGTAATAATGTTAATATGTGAATATTTGTATTTGGACCGAACTTATAAATCACGTGCTTACGCCTCAATGCAGATCTAATAAAATTAAGGTTTGTTTCATAATGATCCGTTTTGATGATTTTTGGATTATCAACTAATATATATTGATGACGTAATATATATATAGGATATACAATTTTTTAATCAAGAAAGACAACTAATATATAAGAAACTGATTAATTTACATCATCAATGTATAATTAATCATGTGACATATATTGTATGTAGAACACATTTGGCGTAAAAAAAAAACCAAAAAAAAAATTCTTTCGGAATTTTAACCACGATAATTTTTTCTCCTCGTCTTCTCACATTTATTAGTATACTAAACTAAAGACACTCTTTTAATTCTGGATATTCCTTATTCCGTATGTCTTCAAGGATAATGCAATTTATACTTTTCATCGTATTATTTAACATATTGATAACGATAATAATGACGATTTTCTCGTACATAATTCCATTAAACGAAAATATAAATCATCAGACAACCAAGAATGAATATTCCAAAGGAAAGAGCCTGGAGAACAATCTTGAAAAAAACAAAAATTTCATTTATCAAGAGTCATGGTTATTGAAATTAGAATGTTTACAATGTCCTGAAAGGTTTGAAAGGTGGAGTAAAAAACTCATCGAAAAAAATCACAGCGTGGTGGATTTAATGATTAAAGGAAAGGAAGGAGAAAAGAAGGAAGGGATTGAGGTAGAAAACAAAAATGGGAAGGATGTTAACCTTTTATGGGTGAAGAAAACTGATGTAGACGTTGTGCAGATAAAGGAGGCGGAAAATCAAAATTGTGAAAGAGAAAAGATGAAAGAATGGATGAGAGAAAGAATGGAAGATAATGAGTGGCTGAGAGAATGGATGGATGATGTGGTTGGTTAAGCATGATCACTCCTATGAAGGTGTTTTACTAATCAAAGTGTTCGATTCCATTTCAATTTTGGATTCAGTATTAATGATAACGATCGAGATATATTTGGTTAGTTAAGGTATTTATATATATATAAATTTTTTCCTTTTTTTGGATTTTTTTTTTTTTTGTTGATGCACCTTACTTATATACTGCGAACATTGTTAAGCAAGCTAAATTTGAAAATCATGATTAATAAAAATGCAACATTTATAGATTTTATTCGAAAGATGATATTAAATTTTTTACTCCTATTTATTGTCTTTTAATAAAAAATTTTCAATTTTTTTTTTCCTACAAGATAAATTCATTTTTGATGTAAAACACTATAGAAATGCTGTCGTTAAACGGTAAAGGGAAGAAGAATTTAAATGTTTTTGAATAAACAATATATTACATAATAAAGTACCTTTTCGCTTCGTAAGATCACATGACAATCACTCGTACCCAAACAAGAATCCCATAATCTACCAAGATCACTTATAAACCTTGCACAAATATAGTTAATTTCCTCAAGAATCAAGTCAACTTGAGGATTTTTGCCTAGTCATTTATCTTAAATTATAGTGATGATTGACTATACTATCCAAGTTCAGAATATGATTATTTTGCTGCATCCACACCAACAAAAAGAACCCTTTCTTCGGAAAAGGATTCAACTATGAATTATTTGGTACTAAATGTGGTGAACAATAAATTGATTTAAAAAGCATATGGAAAATTAGAGGGGAATGGAGGAAAATTTGATTTTTTTTTTTTTTGATTGCATAAAAAAAAAAAAAAATTGATTTCGGGAATTCTTTTTGATAATTTTTCAATTGCTCCACAAAATCTAAAATAAATATCACCATTGTAACGCATTGATTACATTGCATTTCATCACCAAAAAAAAAAATTCCCAAAATACGCAATTCTGGAAATTTTGAATATCCCTTCAATATAACAAAAAAAAAAATAAACAAATAAATAAATAAAAATTTTATAAATAAATGAAATGCTCTGTAACATTGTTCCTTCACCATAATGAATCAAAATTTCTTCCTTTAGCAATTCTCAAAACTGACGTAATGCCCAAAATTTTACATTTATAAATTTGGTAATTGTTTTTTGTCATCATACTGCGGAAAATGATGTGGCGAATTATCACGTGACTATCGGTGAAACATTATCGGGATAAAACAAATCCGATGATAATCAGAGATAAGATCTAAGTTAACGTCACGTGATAATTACAGATGGTGTCTGTCCTTAAATGTACCCCGGGTTCAGGCTCTTATCCTGTTAGGGATGGAAATTAACGGTTAAATGGTTAATTAACATTATATATATTTTTTTTGTATCACTACACAATTCTAAATATAACTTTGTAAAAAATTTTAAAAAAGTTTCTTTTGTTTTGATTGGTCAACTAAAAATATCCTTTGGTTAATTATCCTTTGGTTAATTAACGCCCATCCCTATAACCTGTAAAAAAATTTATTTATACATGGGTTTAGGATAATAACCTAATACCAGAGTCTAGGATAAATTTGCCCGATCAACTCGTCTATATAAAATTTATATATAAAAAAATATTAGCCCTGTTCAATTCTAGATCGGATCGGATTGACCGCAAATGTGCCCTTAAATGAAACTGATCCACGATCCTGATAAACTAACGTGACGCGTGCTAGTACAACATGATTCGATCGAGCCGTAAAAATTGTGCTCAATTGTAATTATGGTTTGATTTGTTACTTTTTTTCCGATCCGAATGATCCGATCCATAATTGAACAGGCTATTAGCCTTGTTCAATTCTAGATCGGATCGGATTGACCGCAAAATGTGCCCTTTTATGATTGGTTATTAAATCAATCAGCGGTCAGTCAAACCGATCCACTAAAATAAGGTGATCGCCTCTGATCGATTCTGATAAACTAACATGACGCGTGCTAGTAAACAACCATATTTATTGTTTACAACATGATTCGATCGAACCGTACAAATTGTGCTCAATTGTAACTGTTTGTTACTTTTTTTCCGATCCGAACGATCCGATCCAGAATTGAACAGGGCTATTATTTCCCCACTATATGGGAACTTTGTAATAAAAAAAGGGGAAATGGCTGGAAAAATATAATGCTAAATCTGAACATATTTTGATCTAAAAAATCATATTTGGCATAAAATTGATTTTTTCCGGCAGTTTCCCCCTTTCTATTGCAAAGGTCCCATATATATGTGTGAGGAGTATAATTTTATACATGCAAATAAGGTTTGACTGTACCCCTTTCTGGTATGAGTCCTTAAAATATTTTTTTACCGACTGTATGTACTATTACAATGTATTTTTTTTGGAACTTTCTCACGAAAAATGTTAAAACTTTTGTAATTTTGTCTTCTTCAAAAAAAACTTTTTTTTTTAAAAAAATTTACAATATTCAATCATCCGAAATCGAGACGTTTTTATACTGAAATCAATTCTTATTTATCAAAAACTCGACATAACGAGTCTTTTCTGTTAGTCGTTATATCGAATATTTGATAAATCAAATCTACTGAATATATAAAATTCAGTTATCAAAATTTTTTAGAAAAAATGCACATTATTTATTAGAAAAATGGTATCGGCTTAACGCGATTATACATATAAACTGTGTTTACATTCGGTATTTGTAATATATCACGAACCGACATTTTTAATAAAATCGGTATATATCATTTGTGATTTTGGTTTAGTTATGAGCCAATATCGGCTTATCCCGAACCTTAATCTCAAATTCTGAATATATCGCGATCTGATTAAGAAATCTTGATTCCAAGAAAAAAAAGTCCTAATTATCGAGACCGCCCGCATATAGGTTTTTTTTTGGATGGGCGTATCTAAAGACCATTACAAATGACAATAACCGTCAATAAGCCTGTTGATCGATTGGCCTTTATGGTTCTTTTTACTTTTCGTATCACGTTGTTATAGATCGTGATTATTTTTTTATGTTTAATTCCAAAATAAATAAATGACGCATTTAGAAAAGACGCGTAACCGATAAATAAATTACTAATCTTACTAATTTCATTTCCGTCGATTTATTATTGATCTCTGTTTATGAATCTCGAACTTTTAAATTTTAAAAAGTTCTGTCATACGTAAAGATCTGTCCAATCAAATCAACCAAATTTTGTAAAACTGTGGTCGATTTGATGTTTCATTTGATTGGCCAGATCGTTTGTACGACACAAACTTTCAAAATTGCTCTAACGAAATCAATAAACAAAAACATTTTTTTCTTTAATTCAATAAAAATAGGGACAGTCTGAATCCGGTTTGAAGTTATTCAAGATTCATGTTGTGTGATACAACAAAACAATGACCCAGACCATTCAGGTTTGAAAAGGTCAATATTACTTAAGCAACTTCATTCATGATTTCCTTAATCATATTTATCCTTCGTAAGACATATAAATCGGGCATGAATTAATAAAAATGAGTTCGATTACAACTTAATAATATGACACAAATACCGTGTAACAGGTTTTTTTTTTTTATGGCAATTCATTCTCAAATTGAACAAAGTAATTCCGCCTTGCGATAAATCGATTATGCGCTTATAAAGACTTAAAACTAATTGACCTTTGAAATACAATATATTTTTTACTTTAAATCCTTTTGCCGTTATCTTTGATCTTGAAAAAGCCTCATACTTTTTGTAAATCAAGGACACATGATATATAAACATTGCATATTGGATAAAGGAAAAATAATAAATAAAAACATTTGGATTGTCCCGTGTAAATAAGGCTGACACCACCATTTGATATTTTCTTTGAATCAAAAAACTCCCACAAAATGTCAGATATTTGCTTTACATAATGTTTAAAAAAAAGTTGAACTTTTCGTAATAAAGTAATCATAACGTCATCATGTGCGGTTTTCGCATGTAAAGAAGTTGATGTTTTTGATATTTTTTTGATTTGACTTTATCATTTGCCCCAACAAAATATTTTGAAATCGGTTACCCGCGCCATTTTGGCAACTTTTTTATTTAGATCTGGGAACTTTACATCTTATTTCCAAGTAAAGGTTTAATCAAATTGTTAATCTTATTTTTTGATTCATTTTAGGGATATTAAAAAAACAATCATTACCGGATGAAAATACTATTAAATGAGAGAATGTGTCACGTCATGCCAAAAATATGCCAAAAAATCCCAAAAAAAGAGCACAAAATATGTGCATCAATCAGTCTTACATTTGTATTATTCCGGAAAAACTTCTTTGATAAAAAAAATCATTTCCAAAAAAAAAAAAAAAAAAAAAAAAAATTTCATCCTCTTATAAAATGACATTGGTTAAACGGTCGATATACCGACGAAAAATTATTAAAATCCCAAGTTTAATATAAAAAAAAAAAAAAACGTTAAGGTTTCCTTTTTTCCCTCGCCACGCCCAGGAACTAATTTTTTTTTTATTTATTTTTTTTTTTTTTTTCCACGGCTTCCTTCGCATCCTTCAATTTTATTCGTATTTCGTTTCGTTACATATTATTTTTTTTTTTGATATAAACGAAAATTTTAACGAACGTATAAATATTTTTTTCCTCCAAAAACAAATTTGCTTATTTTTTTTTTTTTTTTTTCACGACACGCTCCCAATTTTTTTATACTTAAATTTAAATATGGGTAAATTTAAGCAACCTAAGCAACCGGGTTTTTATCATGTTTATGATTTAAAATGTAACATACATGCGACCGATGTCAAAGTTGCTCCTCCTGCTCCTCCACTTCCACCAAATCCAAACAAAGTTATTAATTTTGGAGAAAGCAACAGCGACGAAGACTTGGTATATGGATCTGGGTACATTTTCTATCATAAAATTGAATTTTTATTAAATAATTCCAATAAATCACGTCTCGCGGAGAGAAATATGAAAGAAGGCACGAAAAATATTCCTCGTCGTCAAAATTCTTGGATTCTTTATCGTAGAGATAAAAGTGCCGACCCGAAATTCTTAAAGATGAAGTCCTCTGAAGTTTCGAAAGAAATTCAAGCAATGTGGGCGCAAGAATCAATTAAAGTTAAAGAAATTTTCGTAGCTCTTTCAAGATTGGCCACAAAAAAACACATCGAAAAACACGGTAAAAACTACCGATACAGACCAAAGAGAACGAAACAAAAAGAGGAAGATCATTTTGAGAGTACTTCAGAAGCTTCACGTACAAACTCACCCACAACTTCGAGAACAAGTGATTCCGAAGAAAATCAAAATTTTTTCCCACCGCAAATTAACAATTTCCCACCCAACGAATCTATAGAATTAGATTGTAAGAAAATTTCACCAGTAAATTATAATTTTTCGTTATTTTATCATGAAACCGTCTTACAAAATCCTATAAGCTTTTTTTCAACAAATTTTTTAAATCATAATATACCTAACGAATCAAAACAACAATCCGAACTCATGGCCGTCGATTATATTGAATGTACTCAAGAAGGTATTTTATTTGGTGAAAATTATATTTATCTTTTCTTTTCATTAAAAAACCTTCTCACAATTTTAATTCTTCACAAATCATTTATAGATTATACATTTCAATTTTAATAAGAGAAAAAAAAAGGATTTGGGGCCTTTTCAACAGTCATTTCCGTGACCATTTCCGCAAAGAGTCACATTTATTACATGTGGCGCCTTCTTTGTCAAATATAATAATAATAGTAGCGCGACGAATTGTAGAGATGATTGATGAGGTTGCTATTGTAAAGGCCTTTTATCTTTCCCTTTAGCTTAACACAAAAAATTAGAATATGTACTGTATATACCAAAAGAAAAGTCACGGGATTCGTGTTACGTTGTTCCAGAAAATATTTTTGAATTTGACATTTTTATTCAAAATTTGTATTTTAAGAAACAATAAATATAAATCTAAGCTCATTTCATTCATTGACTTTTATGACTTGGAATTACGATATCAGCGCGATGATTAGCAAATTATTATGTATTGTTATTTGTCACCCCTTTAGTATTTTGGAACAGAAAATCAAAAATTCTATTTGTCACGCCTTTTATTTTATCATTATTAACATACATTAATATAATATACAAAATTTTATTACATGAACATGGTCTTTGCAATTCCTAATCCAAATTTAATTGCAGGAGCACAACTTACAGCAAATTTTATGTAGTCTAATTTACTTTTTTCAGATTTTTTAATTTGCTTTTGTAATAATTCTATTTCTGAATCCTTTTCTTTTTTAATTAAAGCTAAAGTTAATTCATGTTCATGTTGCATTCGTTCTATTAAATTAAAATTTACATTGTTTTGTTTTTTAATATTTTCTTCCAAATCTTTAAGTTTAATGGAAAGTTTTTCTTCCGTTCTTTTACGTTCATTTTCTAATTTATTGACCTTAAATTGCATCTCTTTTTCCCGAGAAGCATGTTCTAAACATTGTTGTTCAGCTTCTTGATATTTTTTAAATTGATTTACCGATTCATCATCGAGAACTTGAAATAATTGTAACGTCTCGGTCGCCTTTTGATATTCGCGAGCCTTAAAACCTGCCAAGATCATTTCTGTTTCTGGACAATCTAATATTAAAGCATCCACGATCTCTTTCTCAAACTTTGTGATCGCATCATTAAATTCCTCTCGAGTCTATCAAGGTTATTTAAAAAACAAGTTAGGTTCAACATGTATAAAAAAGATTAAATGAGAAAAACTGATGATTAAATTACCTTAAAGAAACTTTTTAAATCAACGAGACCAACTTTTACGTGACGATCCCATAACTTTTTGATCAAACTCATATTCTGTTCATATAAAGCGTAGGAATTTGATTTATGAAATTCTTCAAATTTTTCATTAATCGATTCTATTAGTTTGTTCGCATATTTCTTTATTTGGGATCCACTTCCGATGACCCTTTTAAAGAATTCCTTTTCGACTTGATTATAGATTTCCACATGAATTTCATTAAAATCTTCCCAATTAAGAACCTTCAATCGTTGCTTTCTACCGTCGTCATATGGTTGTTGTAACTTTGAATTCATACTTGTGACATACATTTGAGTACAATGTTTAATGGATTGTCGTGCAACGTATTCAATAACAGAATCGTACTCGCTTGGAATCGATAGTTGAAAATTGGAATTTGATGTATCATTTAATTTTTCGACACATTCTTGAAGGAATTTCGTAAATGATAAACCCGTCATTAAGGATGATCCGATGTACTTTGGCGTTGAAGTGGATAAAATACTTTTGACCGCCCTAGATACTTCAGTGACGAACTCGGGTTCTAATTCTTCTGTTGACAATTTATCCAAATTTTGTAGTCGATTACGATCCGACAACGGAATCTGCAAAAACACGAAAAATAAATTTAAAGATGTATACACGTGAGAATGGTTGTAAAATTCACATGTGATGCGTGTATGTAATACACTACCGGAAGACCAAACACATCAAAATCTGAGAAATATTTTCTAATTCTTCCCGTAGCTAAGGATTAAAGACGATATTAATTTCTCATAAAAAAAAAAAAAAAAAAGAAAACCTCTAAATCCAAATTGCATACCTTCATTATCAACAAGATTTAATTTTTCCAAGAAATAATCTTTAAAATCATCAGGATTTTTTAACATGAAATCCCTCAGCAACACAACCATTTTGGGTAAGAATTTATAATCCGAAGGGGGTGTAATGAATTTTGCTAAATCGGTCATCAAAAGCAATTTTCCTATATCATTTCTACCGATGACACCATTTAAATTATAAATAAACGTTGAAGATATTGCTATACATAAAATGAATAATCTCGATGCCCATTGTTGATTTTGCTTTGGATCATCAATCCCTTCACAATCTAGTATAATCATCCGTTTTCCTTGATGAATAAATGGTTTATTCCACATATAAATTCCTTGTGTACAACCCTCTGCTGTTGTACCTAACACGAATCCGTCATGTCTACCGTGTAATACATTTGCGAACCATGATTTCCCTCTACGATATGATCCAACTATCAATAGATTAAACGGTGTTAAATTTGTTAGCTTTGATGGACGACGATTGTTTTACTTACTGATAGCGATGATTGAAACTGGTTCATCAAATTCTCTAATGATATTTAAAGCCTCTTCGTTTATTTTAATTTCTCCAAATTCATCATGATTTTTTTTATTATCGACGTAATTTAAAAGTTGAATTGGTCTGCCCTCATGAAACGGTATCCCTTTTCCAAATTCATTTTCCAAAAATGCAAAATCGTATTCATCGTCCATCCTTAATTATATGAATTTTTTTTTTAAATAAAAAAAAATTACGACAACCGTGCCGGTGTGAATTAATTTTTTTTTTTTTTTTTTTTTTTATAAAAAAAGGAATAGAAAAAAAGGAAAAAAAACAACTTTATTCCAAAATTATTTCTTTTATTTCATAACATTAACTTTGTTAAGTTTATCCAATCAACCATCAAATGAACTTTCAAAAATGGGGGAACACAAACCGGTATTGTTGTACATGTTTCCATATTTGGCAGGAACTTCGAAAACCGAACCGTTTTTTGAAATTTCTAATAGGAATTGAAAATTCCGATTGAATAATAAGTCTCAGCCGAAATGACTAAAACAAGGTACTACCGCAGAATCAATGGGTCCGGTAATTGGATCGGGTTCTTTCTTTTTGCGGCTGTATTTGATTGTGTTTGATGTAAACTTTAAACTATATTCTCATTTTTTTTTTTAATGTACTTGGGGGATTAACCATTACATCCTTTTTTCTTGTGAACCGTTTAATATTTATTTTATCTTCATATTTAACTAAGAAAATTGTTTTTAAAGACTGAAGCCCTAACTTTGTAGTTCATTCTAATGATTAATTTTCGATATACTGTATATATATACATCTTTTCTTTCTAAAAAAATTTTTTTAACAATAAATTAACGATAGAGAATTCATTTGGAAAAAAAATTTTTGTTAGAAATCTTTATTTATACTCTTGCCCTGAATAAAAAGTTTTTTTTACGTATAATGATTAATTGTAAAATGATAAATTCAATATAATGTTCAATTAAGCAACTTTTCTTACAACGTTGCTAACCAGGAAGCCATGATAATTACAGTAATCTTTTATAAATAAAATGAATCAATCATAGAAATCGCCACATTAACGGTTTTGCAAAATTAAATATATGTGATATAATTAACCTAATTAGGAATTTATTAAAAAGGAAATTTAAAAAAACCAAGTGTGTTTTTCCACAATTATCAGAACAAATAAAGAAATTAAAAATTAAAAAATTTATTCTTCATAGAATTAATAATTTTTTAAAGATTGTTTTCTACGAACTTCTAAAATGCAGGGATGCATATAAAAGTATTCCTTCATAAAACATAACAGATCATTGCCTAAAATGATGTAAAACGCCCGCCGGAAATGAAATGAGGAAACTTCTTTTCTATTTTATGATAAAGTATATATATAATAGGTAGTGCTTTGGATGTTGCAACGAATTTATAATAATCATGAATCAATTTATCAACTTTAAACATAAAATTGACTTTTTAATATCAAATGACACATCTAGCCAGCAAATGCAACCCGTGGCTAAATTTGAGAAATGTATTGAATGTAAAAGAAGAAGAAACCTTCTAAAGAATATAATATTGTTGTTATAGAACAAATAAAACCTTTAATCCAATTGGAAACAGGATTATTGACGATTTTTTAAAATTTACACAAATTAATAATTATCAAGGCAAAATGGAAACGGTTTCATATGATAAATTCGAAAATTTAGAATTAATAGGCGAAGTTTAGTAAAGTTTATAAAGCTACTTGGAATGGTGAATATAAACGGAACTCTAAAAAAAAAAGTTGCTCTTAAGAAACTTAATAATTCTAAAAACTTTACTTCAAAGGAGTTAAATGAGGTACATATTTTTATTTTTATTTTATTTATTTATATAATGTGCTAAATTATTATCCTTTTTTTTTTTTTTTAGCTTAAAATGTATTATAAATTGAAACGAGCAGATAATATTAATCGATATTATGGAATTACGCAAGATCCAATTACCAAAGATTTTGTGATAATAATGGAATATTGTGATTCTGGAGATCTATTCCATTATATAGCTAAAGATTTTTTTAATATTAGTTGGTCAACTAAGTTAAAACATTTATACAAAATTTCAGTTTTCCTTACTCACATTCATAAACATAAAATTATTCATCATGATCTTCATAGTGGAAATATTTTGATAGAAAATAAACAAGTTAAAATAGGTGATTTAGGATTGAGCAAATCTGCTACTGAAGCTGAAGATAATGAAACCTATGGAATTATTCCATATATGGCCCCAGAGATTCTTCAAGGACAAAAATATACCACGGCTTCAGAAATTTATAGTTTTGGTATGATTATGTGGGAGTTTATGACAGGTAGAAGACCTTTTTGGGATCGTGCTCATGATACTGAACTGATTATTAATATTTGTGATGGTTTACGTCCTCCAATTGGTAATATAAACGCACCTAAAGGTTATATTGAGCTAATGAAAGAATGCTGGGACCCTGTTCCAAGTAAACGGCCATCATTATGAACAAAATTACTAGAATTATAATATTTGAAGATAGTAATCCAACTGTAATTGTAGAATCATCAGATATTGGCCCTATAACTACAAA